ATACAAGAAAATATTTAATATAGATTTATTACATTCACAAAATTATTTATTTTAAAATTATTATTTTGAAATTTCAAGAAATATGAGATACTTGATGTTTCAATTATGTCAGGTCTCTTCAAATCTTTTTAATTTCTTAAAAAAAGGAGGCATAGCTGAAAATATAGAAGGATTTGCTTTGAAAAAATTGCTTAAAAAGTATTTGTTAATGCCAATAGGGAAATAATTTATTTTACATTGCAGTGCTATTCAAATGAGCTGTCATGTACACTGTTTTATGATGACATTTCAGTGTACATTAAAAAAAGATCAAAACTGCCCAAAAACATTTTTCTGAAAGGAAGAAAAAAGATATTTACAAAAACTGTCAAAATTTGCATACAATTTTGATTCACATATTATACATACAGTACCCGCTGCTAATTAAAATCATTTACGTTCCAAACATATTGAGTTTTATTAAGCAGCTGAGTTTAACAGACAATGATTTACATTGCAAATAATGATATTAGCTTTTAACTTTTCAGGAAAATAACTAATAACTTATTAAAAACTAAATCTTAAATTAATAATTAAAATTAATGCTAAAATTCAAAATAAATCTTAAAATAATAATTAAAAATTAATGCTAAAATAAACTATTTATGCAATTTTGAAATTCGCTTAAATTTTTAAAAAATAACATTTTTATAATTACATTCTTGATGAAATTTTATCTCTTACAAACAAATATTATTCTGTCTGTATTTGTTTCATATCTTTCCACTGTTCCTCAACTTCATTAACCTGCTGATAGCTTTAACAATCAGCACTTTTCAGTTCAGGGATTTTTCTTAATTTGCAGTGCTTGTCTAGATTTGATTGATGATGGCATGTCATCACTTTTGCAGTCCTTTTCAACATTTTTATGACACATTTTCATATGCATTGTTTCAATACTGTTGTAAACTGACACATATCCTAAAACTGAATCTTCATAACTTCCTTTGCTGATATCTGAAATATTAGCTACAGCTCTGAGGCTTCAACATAAAAGCCACACTTCCAAAAAGGTTTCAACTCATTTTAAGAGATTAACCCTTTATACATTTACTACAATATGCAAGGCCTCTAGCAGAAATATCGACCAATTTACTTCCTCTGAAGAGCTATTTTTACAAAATACAATTTTGATTTCTTTTTCTAGGCACCTTTTCTATAATAACATTTAAAAACTTTTATGCCTTAAAATTAAAGGAATGTTAGATGTATTTGCAGGAAGAGACACTAATGTTTTTCAGTTCAATGTCGCATTTCAAAAAATATCAATAAAAATACTATGTGCCATCCGTAAGTTCTTGTTACTGTGGTAAGTCAGAAGTAAATTCTTATCTCCTTTAAAATACTGAGTGCTTTTGTCAATAACAAGTGCTGTTTGTTAATTGTTGGATCTACATTGCGCATTAATGACAAAATAACTTACTCAGTTTCTTAAACCAACTGTTGTTCAATCTTAAATATTATTGTGGATTCTGGCAACATTCTGTAACACAGTCCAGTTTCACCTATATTACAAAATTTTGTGTGGCTCTTATTTATTTAGCGGCTAAGTAAAACATCTTGAATCCAGTAATCAGGTGCATGATCGCAGTTTCTGATGAACAATCTTAAATTTCACTTTCTCCAACTTATAAGATGTATGCCAAAAGCTATAAAATACTCTTCTAACATTCAGTGAAGTTTCTTTTCCTTCAGTCTACGGTTACCACTTCCTTTCCATTCAAAGACTGTTATTAGCAATGCTTAGATGTATTTCATGAACTTTTGAATGTGGAAACCTTAAAACATGGAATACAGAAGTTGTATTTCCACCTCCTATCAGTTGGTATTTGAGAAGGACCTAGAACCCTCACTCATTTACACTGTCTCTAGAGAACTGTATTTTTGTTAACCTTAAGATTAAATCTTGCATTCTGATCCTTTTGAAAAGAACAAAGAAATCTGAAAACCGAGTCTCACGGGTACAGATAATGAGGTGTAGGAAAATTTCAGTCAAATCCATTTTATTAAAGTATTACATACCTGAATCATAAAGCCATGATAACAGGTTTAATAAATGAACTACAAAAAGCTTTCATAGGTACTAATAAGAATAATCAGTTTTTTTTTACGTATCTGAGTTTAAGGAGAAGAGGTTAATAAACAAAGATTTTTCTATCAATTAGTATGAATTTGCTTTGAATCCTAAAAATTTGAACATAAGCTGCTGAGTTTATTAAGCAGCGGGAACTGCATATCATTTATGAAGTTAGTGAGTTAATATTTACACAGATATACAGTCAAGCAATTAATATAGATTTATTACATATTGCACATATGCATACATAGCCCATACATATATTTCAAGAACATAAGGAAATATAAATTTACTTAAAATTCCTCATTCAAAATTACATAAATCTAATAATTATTCTGATTAAAATTTCACTACAATATAAATCAGCGGTTCTCAACCTTTTCACTAATGTGTACCATCTAAACAAAAGTTGAGAAACTTTAGTACCACAACTACATTTTACAATGATTATTTTTCAGTTTCTCAATAGAACTATTTTAAAATATATATATTTCGCTATTCTCAAAACCTATTGGCGATTTTTATTAAATGTACACACATAAAAAATATTCGATTAAAAATTGGTTAAATTTTAATTATCAAAATTTAAATTAAAATATTATTTTAATTCTAAAATTTAGGCCTTATGTCTGGTCTTATTCCACTTAATTTTAATTGTAAATTAGGATCCACTTTTAATTCTGTTCAGTATTTATTTTTCAAATATAACATGTTAGAAAATCCTTGTTCATACCAATAGGTTGTGCACAAAGGCAATACAAATTTAATAGATTTATTTAAAATGGCCTTAAATTCCCTTTTTTTTCAGTTCACCAAATCTTAACAAGTGTGTTATTTTTGAAATCTTTAGTTAAAGTTTGATCCCAGGAAATTTCTTAAAATTTTTCTTTTTCTTTACGAGATAAAATTTTAGGTACATTTGAGCAAAATGGGTTTCTAATCAAATTTTCTTTTTCATAATCCTAAGAAAAATATATGTTGAAATCATTTACCAATGAAAAACAATGATTTTAATCGGATACTAATTCTTCTCTTATTCAAATTATTTTGGTTAGAAAATTAAAGGGTATAAGCTTAAAATATTATTACCAATTCTGATTATAGCTCCAATTTTTTATCATTGTATTTATTTTATCTCTAAGGGTAAACAAATTAACACTTTGTCCTTGTAATTCTAAATTTAATTCATTTAAATTTCAAAAAGTATCAGCTAAATATGCTAAACGCACCAACCATAATTCACTAAATAAACAAATTTGCAATTCAAATTTTGAATCACAAAGGAAAACTTGAATTTCTGATCAAAGTTCAAAAAGATGATTTAAAACTTTTCCCCTGGATAACCACCTTACTTGGCATAAAATCATAAATATTTTTTAATTTAAAGCTCGGCTATTAATAAAATCAACAATTTTCACAGCTTGATTCAAAATGATTTTCAGATTCTTTTGGCTACTAAAGCTTCATAATCAATGGAGCAGTGAGTAAATTTAGCTTCAGGTGACTTTCTTTTTTTGAGAAATAACACCAGAATGTTTTCCTGTTAAAGCCCAAGCTCAATCACTGCATATAGCAATGCACTTATTCTAAGCAATATCATTTTCAGACATAAAACTGTCAATTACTTTTAAAATTTCATTTGTAGTCGCTTTATCATGAAGAAATTCACAAAATAAATACTCTTCAGTAATTTGTTTATCTTCTTCAAAACATATGTAAACTAATGATTGAACAAAATTCGTTATATACTTTCATCCAATTTGTGTTTTATTTTTTGAATATCATGGAATTTGTCATTTTAAGAATGCATCAACTGTATCATTTGATAATGAAATATTATTAAGTTTATCAACCGCTTTTCCATTGAATAATGTTAAAACGATATCTTTAGTTGCTGGTAATATAAGGTTTTCTCCAGTAGTGTGAGCCTACCCAGTCTTGGCAATTCCTAGGCTTACTAGGTAACTAGCTTCCAAAGCTTTTTCACTTGAAGTAACAAAACCTTTCATTACTTGTTTACTATTTTTGAACTCCGAGGATTTCCTATTAAAATATTCTTCAGATTTGTCCTTTAAAAATTGGCATGCTTAGATTCAGGATGCCTTTCAAGGAACAATGGTTTCATACTTTGTTTCGATAATAGTTCATCACAAACAACATATTAAGGTTCAGGGTCCATTTCATCTCCATTCCAAGCAAACCCAAATGATAAATAACTTTTATTATATTTTGTAGAAAAATTTTTTACTTTCCTTTTCAATATTTTCAGTGCCAATAGTTTGTCCTGGATCCATCACCTAAGAATCATCATTTTTCTGCTTAGTCAATCCTAGCCATTTTTCCATTTTGAAAATTTAGGTTTGTTTTATTATTTTTCACAAATATTAAAATGCACAATATATTACAAGTTCTTCAAAAACAAATGACACTATTCTCAAATCGCATAGAAAAGTCTGAAATACAAACAAAACAAAAAAACCTGTTGTTACAGATGGCAAATCAACGTAAAAAATCATTCTAATTGAAAATAGAGCAATATGAACCCGGAAATGGTGGCAACATTAAATGTACTCATGCTAATAAATCGATCAACTCTGAAAGAATAAATGAGATAATATTATCCTTTTACAGGAATTTATTTTTATTTCCTATTAAATACAACATCCATTTCTAATACTCCTTTAAAAAGCAAAGCATGTTCATTGTTCTTTTGTTGCAGATAATAAAGAGATTTGTAGTTCGAATTACAATTCGGCTAGCACAAAGGTTCAGAAATAGATTCTCCATTCCTACTTAACAAAACATTTTGGTCTTCTCGCATCGCTGCACGTTGAATGGAAGTAGCAAAAATTCTGTTTATATGAACAACTCTTGAGCCTTAATAACCCTCCACAAACGTCTCTTTTTTCGCAAGCAGCCTTGACTGGAAAATCTTTCTTTCGCACAGTCTGGCAAATATTTTACTCCGCTAAAATGAAAATAAAAGTTAAAAAAGGCCAGCCAATAGGAAAACAGCGGGTTCCTTTTCGTTAGAAAACGTGTGTGAAGAATTCTGCAAAAGCGGTTGAGAATACTCAATAGCCATATGGCAAATTCTATTATGTCTGTGGCTAAAAGAATATTTGCGAAAATAGAAACTGATTGTTTTCCAAAAATCTATGAGTGGCTATTGACTTTGTTCTGCGGCTATTCACGATTGCATAAATTTATGAGTGTTGCAGAAAAAAGTTACACAGGATGTAGGTGTATTTAATTTTTGAATTTATGAGTTAAAAATAATTTGTTTCTTTGCATATCACCTAGTTTTCTCTTGCTTACCACCAGTTGAGAATCGCTGCTATAGATAAAAAAATGCACGTTATCTTTCTATATTTATACATCTAGATATATTAGATTTTGTTTTTATATTAACAAATTACAGTGACACATATTGAATATATATAATGTCCAAATAAATGGAGATACATGCTTACAGATGCTGCAATCTGAAAAGATTAGAAATGCCATTGCATTAGTAAGTTGTGTTAACAACAGACAGCTACTCCTTTCCTTATTATCATTTAGATACAGCCAGCAGTCTCCTGATGAAGATGTTAAAAAAGCATTTTAATTTAAGCCTCTCTCTAAATTTGTCTCCATTATTTTGTTTTAAATTAAAACTTATTTTTTTCAATTCATGTCATATGATTAAGATTACATGCAAATAAATAAATAATGAACAATTGAAAATGGGAGATTGGTGTAAAATGAAAAATTTGAACTGCATACTTTGAAAAAATATCTTTTGCCAATTTATAATAAGAAGCAAGACTAAATAGATTTGCAAATACATGCAAAATGTTTAAATGGGACTTATTCTATTATGTCTTAAAATTTAATACATTTTAATTAAAGAGAATCATAGAAAAATAAATAAAAACATATAATGCAAAAGAAAAGCAAATAGTATTCCTTATGCAAAGAATGACATAACAATGAGCATACTTTTAACAACATAAAACATATACCATATAGTATTTACTGTAACAACACTTTGATAAAAAATAATACTTGTAATTTATTGCTATGACTATCTTACAATTTAGTCATACAATTCCACTTTTTCTGATATAAATTTTTGGCAATATACATACATATAAATATATACAAAAGACTGAATTTTCACAATCGTGATACAGATAAAAATGCTGTTAAATAATCTACAAAAAACAACACGATTTTTAAAAACGATTATATTGCCCTGCTCAGATTTTTCTTTTAACAAAGTGTTTTTTTTTTTTTAAGTGCATACTAAGCTCATCACTTGTTGCACAAATACTACATGAAAAAGTAAACATAAATATTAAAACTGTATGTTAAACAATAATCTCAAGACAACAAACACATCAGTGTTTTAATTCCTTAGTCTTAAAACAAAAATGCAACAAATAACAAGATTATACTTTAGCCAATCAAATTTACAATTCATTCAATCACAATCACGTTTCTAGGTAACATAACTAAGAAAATGTGAGTACATATGTAAGGGCACTTCAGGAACATAAAATTTTTCATAAAATAAATATACAGCATTGTACAGCAAATCTTAGACAATTATAAATATATATTGATAAAATATATATGTGTATAGAAAGATACATTACGAAATAAGGCACAATTTGAGCAAAGAGGCAATACATAAGTATAACCTTCTTGTCAAGAGGAGAATGTACAATATTTTTCCTTAAATTAAAAGTATACACTTTATGAACATGACAACCTATACTCGCTCTATTTCAGTATAAGATAAAATATAACATTCTCAAATCAAATCCTCAATTATATTTTAAAATTTTATATAATAAAAATTTTCTTTCAATCCAGAAGACCTGAAGATACAGAGGGAGGTTTGAATACAACAAAATAAGAAAAATAGCTAGCAAATGTTCCACATAATGCTGCAACAATCATATAAGATGATGATGATTTTGTATACTCCACAATGTGCCCCAAAAACAGGGATGGTATGATTTGTGATAAGTAAAATGCCGAATCCAATACTGCCATATTTTCTCCCACACCACGATAACTACTTTCAAACTGAAAATAAGAAATCTAAATAACAGCATTTCAAATAATTGAGGAGACAGAACACAATATTACAGAAAATATAGTTACTGATTAACAGAATATGTGTAAAAAAAATATTATACTCCTAATAAAGCATAATTTGTCTTAAAAGTAGATAAAGAAGCCTTAAGGTGTATTTTAAGCATGGATTCAATAGCTCAATTCTAATATAAAAATTCCAGCTGGATTTTTAATTTCATACAGAACAAAATATGAGATCCACACTCATCGGGTGATTCTGTATATTAGATCATTAGTTTAACACATTGACGCCAGCCTGACCCACCAGTAGGTCATACTTGTCTGTTCGATGGATCATGCTTGATTGTTCCACAAGCAGGCATGTCTCACCGATGGGTCATGCTTATATATCAAAAATACATAGTACAAAATTTGATTTTAATTATTCAACAGTATACATTAACATTTCAACATTATAATCAAACATTCAATACAAAACAAATAACTTAAATAGTGGGTTAATACCACACAAGAATTGAACACTATAATTTGGCGCTGTGCTGCCCCACAAATTGGACCACTAATTCAAGCGCCGTTGCACGAAAAGAACAATGAATATCCGCACCGCCGTCAATGTGTTAAATCTAGTCAGATGACAGGTACAAATTACAAAATAGATATATAAAACAGTGGTTTTTGAAATAATGAAGCATTTGATCATAAGGGAACTAAAATTTATAAAAAAAAAGCTCAGTATTTATTTGTTTGCTTTATTAAACATTTCTTTCAATGTACAATATTCAAGTTGCTTCATTTATTGTGCTAATACTTTCTCCTGAATTCTGTAGACAGATATAATCTACTGTTCAGTTACAAAGTTCCACTGTTTGAGACCTGTAATTGGTGTGTCGAGAACTCCAATTAAACTGTCAACTGAAATTTTTTCGTTAATCAAAAACCTATCTGTCCCTTTCTTCACTAGAGATATTCCCCATATTTAAAACCATACTATAGACTTTGCCATCTGTTAGTCAATTGATTGGGCAAATTATCATTTCAATGAAATCTCCTGTTAGGTCACCTTAATTTACTAACACTTCACCACATTTCTTCAGTAATTCCATTAAATGGAAAATTTTGCCTTTCGTCTGCAATATCCAAAAACCTTCAAATTCACGGCTATCATCATAAATCTTAGCTAGCATATGCTATACACTGCTGGTGATGTACCATAAGATTGGCAACCACAGACATGTAGTTCGCTAAATTTCCCCTCACTTGCATCATGTGCTGAAGAAGTTAGGACAGATTTACATTAATTTAGTTACTTATTACATTTACATCTATTTTCCACATACGCGAGAAATAGATGATAGGCTTATTTGAGTCACAAATAAATTAATTCCCCCACACACTTAAGGCTTGTTTGAACAACATATTAGCTAGAATAGAAGATAGTTTTTTGAACATATTAGCTGTTATTAATTCAAAAAGCACAAAATTTAATTTTTAGCCTATGAATAACATTTACAAAATCTACATTACGCTTATGGAAAGAAGTTCAGTTAGCTGAAGTCTGTAATCATCACCAGCCTAATATCAACATAAAAGGTTACCATGCTTTTGGTATTCAATTACTAATATCTAAAAAAAAAAAAATATTTTGACTTTGGTGAACTCGATCACATGGTCAGGCAACTGGGCAGTTGCCCCAAACTGTGTAGAACTGCATATGGAAGTAAAAATAACATTGAAATATGACTAATAAGATGGTGTGGAAGAGAGCAAAAAGGCATCAGCCATTTCTTAAGCCATGACGTCATTCAGATGAAAATATACCTCCAGAGTGATGTTGGTAGAGCAAAAATGGCATTTCATACAATGAGTGATTGAGAATGATTAGGCAATTAATGGAAAAAGAAACAAGTAGGAGAAAAGAACACACTAGAAAGTCCAGCATAAAACTGTTTGGACATCACTGCATGAATCATTCCTCAAATTGCCATGTGTTGTTAGTCATGTGGTGATGAAGTCAGAAAATAATACACAACTAGTCATCAAGTTGGCATTAGGTATAAAAGTTCAGTAGGTGCAAAATCTACAATGTTTTGATGTAGAATATTTCGGTTTGATATGTATCCCAAGCAAAATTGTGGCCGTGGAGCCCAATTATTGATAATACAGGTTTACGCTAATAAATGATTGTTTATTCAATATGGAGGTATTTTATTTTAGTGGCCAAATGAAATTAAGAATTAGGACTGTCCATATCGCATGTTTTATAATAAAAAAATTTCAAATGTGCATACAAAAAGTATACCAATTATGTTCAAAGTTTTTAGAAAATAATTTAACTGAATTTCATAGAACCATATATTGATGCTAAAAACAAATATCCCACATCTCAGCAAAATGCTGAAAATGTTTTATTGAACATACAACATGCAAAGAAGATATGGCTAGAAAAAAAGGCTGGTACAATTGAGGAATAGGTGTTTTACGGTTACTGTATTCCTTGCAACAAAAGCAGATACCCAATAAAATGTAAGAAATTGATTGAAATAAGTACTAATAGTTATTTATCAATGAGACTGAATAGTGTTTAACCTGCTGTTCATAGTTCCTAATTGAATTTTATGTAAACATTTTAATCACAAAAAGTTCCTGTTCATCATTTTTTAAATTTTATGTTTAAATTTATATAGTTCAATGTAAAAAAAATACTGCTTTAATAACTGATATGCTAATAAGAAGACTTAAGATAATATAAATAAAATATTCTGACAGTTTGACATGTTATCAACATTCAATCAGTCATGATGACACTAAAACATGTTGGAGTGATAGATTTTTCAAATAATTTCAAGAACAAGGCACAAATGCTTATAAAAAAGTTCCGGATAGGATATAAAAATCTGATGGGAAATAAACTATTAAATGTGCCAACATTATATTAAAAATAAGTTAAAAGGAAAGCACTTATTCACTAAAAATTATTCACTAAAAGAAATGAAAATTATATTCAAAATAACAGTCTCCTTACCTCTTTTTTACTGTAATACTCAGTCACTAGAGAATATGGCACAGTAGTGATGGCAGCTAAACCCAGTCCTGAAGCAGCAGCAAATACATTCACAAGAATAAGATTATTAGTCAGCACAGTTCCCAACATGCTTAATGAAAATGAAAGCATTCCAAACAAAAATACTTTATGCTTTCCATAATGATTTATCAGTCTTTCCTGGATAAATGCAGCATAACCAGCAGCTAAAAAATTTTTTTTAAATTCAGGCAAAAAGTAATAGGTATGTTAAAAATTGTACTCTAACATGCAAATGCTACAGTAATTTTCAGTCTTCATTTAAATCTATATTCAGAAATAATTTATGCAATTCATTTAAGCAAACATGGGAAAAAAAAAAAAAAAAACCATTCAACAGCAGTTTTTAAATGACATCAAACAAGATATAACTTATGAAGTGCTATATGAAATGTTTTACATGTACTTATATGAAATCTATAGCCATATATATATCCAGCTGCATATCAAATAATTATTACATCAATAAAACTGTACAACATACTTCGTTATGATTTTCACTGCAATGCAAATTTCAGTGGCATCTTACAAATTAGAATGGATATGTTGGACAAGCCATCTATTCTTAAGAAGAACAATTTTAGTTTATCAACAAATTTTGTTTATCATGTGATAAAGAAGGTCATGGGAATCATTAGACTGGCTAATGCAGCAGTGACTGAAAATGCATGTACAATCAGCCAATGTTAACAAAAACATGCTTGCCTTTGCAATATTAGCATTAGATACTTAAGGTGAAAAACTTGCTTTACAGATGATATTTGTTGCTACTAGCAGTTGCAGTAAATAAAATTACTGGAATGAAACAATATCCATGCACTCGACAGAATGCTCAAGCCAAATCTAGTATTTCCCTCCCGTCCTCACCATTTAAAAACGTATTATACAAAGTTTTTTGACACACTAAAAAGAAACCTTGGTAGTTCCAAGGTTTGCACTTAATAGTGTTTCAGTTTATATATGCAAACCATATCTGAAAGCATAGTCCAGATATTAGTAATCCATACTTAATGTAATGGATGAAGGAAGTGACTGCTGCATTGTGAGGGAAGGAAATAACGTTTCATGTAATATTTAGGGAATAGATAAGACACAAGGTGGCAAAGTCTGGCTACTAAGCTCGATGAGTCATCTCTTTGATGTTTGAGGTTCCATTTTTGTCCCAACACATCAAAATATTTCACCACAGTTCAGATGCAACATAAACATACAGTAACTTCTGTTGCACAGCCGCATGCCATAGAAGTGCGCCGTCACCATACTTCATTCCATGTTGCCAGAATAACTTTCAAATTGGAGAGCATAAAAAGTAACAGTTACTTGCCACTACATCTCAAGCTCCTTATATAAGCCCCAAACAGAACATTTTCAATGCAAGATCCTTTTATCCTTTTCAATGCTTTCTTTTATCCATCTGCTTCCTTTTAATTCATTTAATAAAGCTGTGAGATGTAAAAAAAATTGGTATGTCCACATGCATATTTATAATGATGTTAGAGAAAGAGTCACATGACATAAATATTTAAAAACTTCAAATCATTCCTAAGCAAATTAACTTTTTAAAATTCCATGTTGCATACAAGATAAAATAAAGAACGTATTTCGGATAATTTTGAATTGGCATAATTTTATGAAGCTATTAATTTTTTATACACTTATCAGCTACACTGTAAAAAGAAGCTTTTTAAAAATGCCTCGATAAAGCATTTCTTTTGTAAAGGTGAACTTTTAGCACTGATCTAATATATTTCTGAAATTTAAAACTGAGAAAGATGACAAAAATAGATTACAATGCATTACAAGATTGACTGATAAATGTACAATTTTTAGACCTCATAATTACGTCTTTTTTAAAACAGAATATATACAGAGCTTGAGATGAACTATTTTATTCATAAAAAATTCATTCCATTCACAGAAAATTTTTATAACAGAAGTTACTCCATAACTTGCAGATACAAATTAATAATATTATCTTTCACATGTTCTTGATAGACTTAATTTTTACAAATGAATATATATATATATTTGTTTCATAAGAATAAATAGTAAAGTTAAATTAAATTTAAATAATTCTCTTGCACCATTGCTGCAAGGAATGTATATTATCTGAAGATATGAATGCAATATTTGGGACATTAAACATTCATCTTGAGAAAGAAAAGTATTTTAAAATTTAGCATATTCATTAAAACAATCTAAATGTATGATGCTTTGTTTTGTGCTATACTTGTTTATTGAATTTGGTAATTAACTGTATAGTTTAGTAAATATAATCATATGCTACAGTTACTTACTAAATTCAGTTTTGCTAAATAAGACTTTAAATAAATTGTGTTTTCAAAGAAGGGCATTTTCTTATGCCAGGTAAATAAACAGTAGCATCAACCGCTTCCCTTACAAATTTTTTTGAAAAAAACTGCAAAAAAATGATCAAATTTTTTTATTTTATTATTAAATACAAAAAAAAAATATTGGTTTTAAGTTGAATTTTTAATTTTTTACAGGTGTAAAAACATTTAGTTTTAATATTAGTTTACTATTCCGAGTTATCTCGGGCAAATAAAAAAAATTAATATTAGTCGTTGTATGATAGTTTTTGAAACAAGGGACAACATAAAGTGATACCTGACATTCTATACACTGGTATCTGGTCTCTTTTCTTACTGGCTTACCTCTGGAATCTAGTTTACGGAAAATTTTGTTAATGACCTGAAACATCAATGACTAATTGTCATTCTTCTGTGTTCTTGAAACTGATGAGTGATTTATTTTTCTAAGAATGATTGTTGTGTTTTTATTTTGATAAATATTTATTGCATTTACACTGAAATTATGTTTGTTATGCATTCAAGTGTTGTAGATGTGTGTTTGCGGTATCATATGTTGTATCTTAAAAAAAAGTGTAATTCTTATGTATTGCAGATTTGCCAACTCTTCAGATTTCTGACCATACTCCTGCCAACCTGATTTCTTGTGACTTTTCCTTATTCTTAAAATTTCTCATGATTTTTATGTAGCTTGGCTTAATACTTTGTTATTTGTCCCCCAAAATGTGATTTTGGGTATCTGAAAGCACTTCTTTTTCTCTAGATGCATATATAAAAAAAAAAAAAAGAAGTTTCATCACTGTGATATGGAGGTTTCTGCTTTGCGTGTGGAATCCGAAACACATGTCTGAAAACATCATGTTTCAGTTCTCCAGTGAGAACCAAGTGCCGCTGTTTATCATGTGCCTAACATTAACCAATGAGCACAAATCAAGGTTCAACTGAGATCAAGGTTGTTTATTTCATTTGTCTCACCAGCAAGCAAATTTTCATGTTCTTCCTAGAAACTGTGACCTTCTGTCTTAGGAAGCACAGAGGCACTGTCTCATTGGATTTGATTTTTTTTTCAGTAGCAGGAATAACATCTGGAAAATGCCTTGAGGTTATAATCACTATCTGAAATCGCTTTCGCTATCTTGTATCATCGCCATTATTTTACTTTTTTCAACGCAACTATCATTCTTTATACATTACTAATCCACAAGACGACGTACGCTAGATGAGAGGTAAACATGTGACCAGTCCCGCTAAAAGAACTGCGAAACCAACAAAACTTGGCAAACTGCCAATAAAAAGCCGAATATTTACTTTCATTTCCTCCAGTTCGAGTAAAACCATGATAAAACAAATCGTACTGACAAATTCTGCTTCGCCGAGTTTTCTCGGGATAATCAGGCAAACGGTTAATTGATTTACATCATGGAATTCAAGTTTATGAAATTTATTCCATATTTTGTAATCCCTTTGAATTGAAATATTAAATATTAAAAGGGAATTTCAGCCTTAAGTATAACATAATTTTTAAATATAAATTTCTTTTTTGCATTAATCAGTGCAATTAAATTTTCTAATTACATATACATTGCATTCTGCCGTACATACCTAAAAGGTGGATATGTAAAAATTTGATTTAAAAATGACATTTTCACATTTATTCATAACATGCAGAAAATATAAATTTCTATCATATATGTAAGAAAAATAAAGAATATGTAAAAGATTAAATTAGCAATGTAAATTTCCTTTCTTAATTCTAAAAATAGCAACCTCTCTCTGCACTGCGTCATTTCTGGATTAATCCATGTTATTTAACTCTTTCACCCTGAATGCAATGCACTTGCCTTCTATGCTTTGACCTAGCTGGACTGCAGTCTGTCTGCTTCTTCTATCTTATTGCAAATTTATGTAAATGTAAACTTTTTGGAATAGGTACATATAATGTGCCAATTTGTTTGTGGCCGCAGCATGTTTACTGAAATAAAAAATGAAGATTTAATCTGCCTTCGATTCCAATTTCCTATTCATTATGGATCAATGCTTCTAGGCCATCAAAATTTCTGCAAGTCATTACTTCCGAGTTTGTTTTTATCACATATGTATATTTTTGTACTGTAAAATACACGGACGATCTATATACAATTACGTACAGTACAAAAGCGAAAGATTTACCTAAATTTTTACTAAATATATAAGCATATCCGAAGCAAAAAATTGGAGAAATTTACGTATATGCAATAAATATATGTAAATTTTTGCTAAAAACATACATAAATATTTGAAATTTATATAAAAGTTACAAATGAATCACAGTCTTTTACATGAGTATGCCTAAGTTTTATGTGAAACTTGCGTATATTGTAACATGAAAATATACATATATACAGTACAAAGTCTGTTATCTGGACGTCCATTATCCGGAATGATCTATAATCCGGACCTCAAAGCCACAAACTTTTTTTCTGTATGCTTTACGAATGCGTGTAATGCATTTACGCATGCACGTTTAATGTTTACACATGCGCATTTAGCACCAAAAAATAAAGCAACTTAAACAACTTACATTGAAACAAAGGTTTAATAAAGTAAAAAAATAAATATTAAACTTTTTTTTGGTAAATTTTGATACCCTTTAGATCATAATTGCTCTTTATTTCATAAATTACGGTTTCATATTTTTAATTGTATAATTTCTGCATGACATCTTACCAGATTTAAATTGATGATTTATTATCCGGAATCGCTGAAGTCCCGACAAGTCCGAATTACAGACTTTGTACTGTATCTACTATTTTTTTCCCTGGGTGCTTTTTAATGATATTTTTACATTCAACTTGTAAGGTAAATTGCACATATTTTCCTCATGCAATTCATCAATGCATGTAGCCTGGGTAGTTAGAAATTCATTCCACAACCAGCTCACCATGGAATGGCTGATGAATCCATTTTGGAACATCACTATTGCTGACTCGCTTCTCATTGGCCTATGACTTTATAATGCAATTCTGCCATTAAATGTCACCTCTGACTTCAGCTATCTCAAAACTGTTTAACATCAGCATTAACAATTGTTTAACATCAGCATTAACAATTGTTTAACATCAGCATCAGCATAATTGTTTAACATCAGCAGCGAAGTGATGGGTTTATTGAGAAGCAATTCCCTCCTAACTAGCTGGTTTTGAATTGTATCATATTTATGTAAAATAATGGCAGTGCCACTCTTTTGCATAGTGTTACTAGATGCAATCTGCTTTTATTTATAACATATCCAACATTCAAGAATTTAGAACTACTTAGCCAATTTATTGGGATTTTTCAATCTGTTGCTTAACTTTCAGAAACCAGCGTATTCTGCATTGAAAAGAATGACCAATATATGCTTCCAGCTTTTGTGCGATATGTAAAATATCCTTCTTGAATGAACAGGCTGTGCATATGAGGGGTTAACAGAATTACTTTTCAGTTAACAGAAAATTCTGTTGGTAATTTGTAGAGGTGTCAATTTTCTTTCACAATGGCTGTTATAACATATAACTACCTGAATTTTTAATTTATCAGTTGTTTATTTCTTTAAAAAATATGTTACTTTATAAACTGCACATAACTGAAACTGTAGCTTCTCAATAAACAGACATGGGAGATGCACCAGTATACCCAACTTTTGATCTAAACTACATCCCATTCCTGATTAAGAACAACCCAGGGAATGAAATCCAGTCGCTTCATATCCACTTTTTCCTATCATTACCTTCTTAAAAAGACTTTCAGGTTATCAGAAGACAGTATAGTCACTAATGTCCCTGCATTGTCCAAAATTTGAACTAAGGTCTTATGGCATATGTAGTCAAGTCTCCACTCATAACCACCACAATCAACAGCACTGCTTCCTGAAAACTTCTTATGTTTGAAGTAAACTTACACATTGCTCAGTACAACAAAAATATTTACACAGAGACATAAAAACTGAATGTAAAAAAAAATATTAACTACTTACTGCTTCATATAACGATAACTCAAAACCCCATTTTGTATAAAATAATGATTTCATTGATTACAAAACTCAGATAAAATTTCAAAATTAGGAAATATAAGCCACATAAATATTAAAAACAAATTCACCATTGTCTAAAATTAAACTGTAATTAAACAAAATATTTACCTGCAATACAATGGAGCAGAAGGCCCCAAGAACCCATTCGGACACCCTCATCATAACGATTTATTGCAGTGCTTTCTCTTTCAGCATGAGGTTCTCCTCTGTAAATCACCTATCACCAGAATACATAATTATGTCTGTTTATAACATATATAACAAACAAACAGTTCAGCAAATATAAAGCATAACATATGAAACAAAAAAAAAAAAAATCTGAAAGATTTCAGCTTTTATATTTCACCCAAAGGGGTGCTTATTTCATTTACATACACATACATGTTTTGAGAGCATCTGAGCTTTGTTATTTCACGAGCTTGTTTAATGCTGCCGTTTTGTTTTCTTATCCGGATATTTTGTTTTTTCAATTAAAAATATTTTAAATTTCAGTGCTTTTTAATAATACAATGACAGATAACAAACACATTCATGATTTTATTGCTTTCAATGTTGAAAAACGTAAACATGTTGCATTGACAGTAATGCAAAAAGTAAAAATTCGGCAAAAGATGGAGGCAGGGTACTACTCATCGGTTTATAGCAGAATCGTATGGCATTGTTACATGGACCATGTATGATATACGTAAAAATGAAGAAAAGCTGTTGAAATTTTACAGCAACAATGAGTCTAACATCGGAATTTAAAACTGGAAATCTTTGCATGAGGCGAAATTGACAAACCTTAATGCTGTCTTGCACAAGTGGTTCCGGCAGCAGCAGAGTGATGGGTTACCAATTTCAGGACTGACCCTAAGAGAAAAAAGAAAGCAGATTCATGCTGATTTAAAAAAATAGAGGAGCTGTGCGATTTCAGCAGCGGTTGGCTGAACAGATTTAAGCAGAGACATGGTATATGTTATCTGAAAGCATGTGGGGGAAAATTTTCAACAGATAAAGATGCTGCAGAGGAACTACTTGATGAATTTTCTGTGTTAGTGGCAGAAGAAAATCTTAGCCCAGAACAGGTTTTTGATATGGACAAGACTGGACATTTTGCCAAGAAAGACATTTGTGGTAAGCAAAGAAAGTGCACCGTCATGAATGAAAGAAGCTAAAGAAAGAGTTACTATTTTAGTATGCAGCAATGTAGCTGGAACTTATAAATGTAAACCAGTGGTAGAGGGTAAGAGCACCAATCTCAGAGCTCTGAAAGGATTAAAATCCTTGCCTGTGATTTACAGGAATAATAAAAATTCCTGGTCCACAAAACAACTTATGACCAATTAGTTCATGCAGTACTTTGTTAAAGAGGCTAGAAGGCACTGTAACAATGTGGGCTTACGTTTTGCAAGGGAGTTTTGCAGTTTGATAGTCTTAAGATTTCAGTTAGTTAACATTAAGATGATCGTCGTAAGTATTTAGTAAGTTTACTTTTTTTTTATCAATTTCTGTTTAAATTGGTTTTTAGTTTTTAGCTGTTTAAGACTCAGATCTGATTTTGTTATAATTGAAATCTCTATGAAAAGTTTTTCGTTTCTTGGTATTAAAAGTTTAGGTTTGCATAATCGGGGACCACCCAACTTTGAGTGTTGTTCAAATGACAAATTGATTTAAAGTATATTTGTTTTGTTCTTTATTTGTAATTGCTTTTGAATATCAGATTTACATATAATGTTTCTAAGACCAATTTGTTTTTTTGAATGGTCAATTTGCATAGCATAAAGATTTATGGGGTTTTCAGTAATCAATTTGGCACAATATAAAGTTTTATTCTTTTTTCCAAGTGTTTCAAAAGCATGTAGGGAAAATTCTGGATGCATTTGAAATTCAATTTTTTGGTTTTATATGAATTTTAATGTCTGAAATAAAAATTTAACTGAATCTTTTTTCGGTTTTTGATCTCAAACGAACCAAAAACAAAACATGTTTCCGAAACATATTCATCGACTTTTATGAAAACTTGATTCATTTTTCCCTGATGAGTTCCAGTAAAAGATAACTAAAATAACAAACTAAACTAAAATGTACAAAGATAACTAAAATAACTAACCAAGTTGGCCTGTAATTAAACCTCACCAGCGAATACTAACAAGTATATAATATTACAGCTGTACGCAATAAGATAGGCTTCAAGAAATGACATGACCCAAAGGCAGAACACGTTCTACCGAGAACTTCTGAGCTCTCCTCATTAAATACTGTTTTTGCTTCATCTACACAAAACACGATACTGAAATCTCATACTGGCAGAGAATTGTAGGTGGGAAAGAAGAATTTTACGGAAAGAATTTTAAAATTAAAAATAACTATTTGAAATTTCAAATAATTCCTACAATATGTTTATCTATATATGGATAATTTTTTTAATATGTTTCATAAATTAAACTAAAAAGAGTGTAGAAAATGCTGATAAAGAACCAAAACTTGGACAAAAGTGGTTATAATATTCATAAACTAAAACTAATTATTTGACATGTAAATAAAAGGCTGACCACTTCTGCCCCCTAAAACTATGAAATTCCCACCAGACCGAGAACCCCCTTCTAAAGGATTTAAGTAGAGAGTACTTTAATCCTGAATTCTAACAGCAGGCATCTTCTATATTTAATTATTTCATCACGTGACCCTTCAGTAGCAGAAAAGATTACTATTAACATTTTGAAACTAAGTTAAAAATTTTATAAAAACAAGAATAAAAATTCATTAGCATTCAGAACTAACAAAATAAACATCATATTAAAAGTTTGATAAACTCACCTGTCCAACAAAATCTGAATAATACATATCATGGCACATAATTCCCATCCAGCCAAAAAGACATGCTATAAATAATTGAAACAACACTGGAGGCAAAGTAAAATATTCTTTTAAATTACAGCTTAATGTGGCACTAACTGGAAGTAATAATATATAAAATATTCTTTTAACACATGATTTGGTACTTCGAAATGATTTAGGTAGAATCACAGGAACAAAGTTTAAATTTTCTGGTTTAAAACTATTTGCCCCATTATAAGACTTATAACCATTCAAGATTTTTGATGTTTTAGGTACAAAAACGTTTTCCTTATTATCAAAACACTCTAAAACATGACCATTTTCTACTACAGGTATAAAGCCATTGAAATTTTTTTCAGAATTTACATTATTTAAAGGCAAAAGTTTTGTCTCCTTTAAAGGTTTCTCTGTTGCTAGTGTTAAATTTACAAACAATGACAATATAAGCAATATAGCCAAAAGAGTAAATACAGCCTTTTCTTGGCCTCCAAAATAAGCACCAAAAGCAGTATTGGCCCAATTTACAGAAGTAATAAAATATCCAACACTTCCCCCTAAGGAAAGCATACAGGAATAGAAAGTAAAGCCTGAACTTTGTTCTTCTAATGAATGAAATATGTCAGGAATGAGGGCTTTGCAAGGGTTCATAATTGCTTGGTTAGAAAAATCTAACAAAATGACACCAGCAGCTAAACCAAAGTTAGGGCTTATAATACCATTAAAATGTGAAAATATTTCAGAACTGAAAGGAATAATGAGTAATGAAAATATCATAAGGACGCCCAGTGCAAGCATAAAAGGACGTCTTCGACCAAACCGACTCTGACATCTGTCACTCCATCGTCCAATGATAGGAACTAATAACAAAGAAATAAATGGTCCAATACCCATAACTATAGTAACAGTTTTGTATGTAAAACCACTTTTGAGCATTATTGGTGGGATGTAGGTAAAACCAGCACTTGCACATAATTCTATACCAAATGCTAAAAGATTTATGCCAATCAATTTCAACCTACTGCATGAATGCATCTTAATAACAGGATCAATTAAACTATATTCTCCAGCAACATTGTTTAATGAGCAATCTTGATTTGGTAACAAGCAATCCTCCATATCCAACGGCCAGTATATAGTAATAATTTAATTCATGTCCAGCAATGGTCTCGATCCAAAATAATGAGCAAGACTTCTGTTCAAATGTACCTGTAAAAAAAATTAAGGCTGTCATATGTGGGTGCAAATTTAACACACAGGAATATCAGAGGTAAAAAAAATATAAAACTCTATTACACTTATAAGTAAATTACCTAAATGCTAAATATATCTTTATGCTAAATTATTGAAACTTTCACAAAATAATGCATCATTGCTACAATCAAAACTATCCAATAGCAGTTATATTATGCAACGATAGTCTAGACCAGCAGTTTTCAACCAGTCAGGGCTTAATTTCTAAGATCAGAAGCGCCGGAGCCCTATAGAAGACCGTCAGCAAAGAGGAGCAAGAGTAAATAAATAAATAAAATGACTATTAAACTCATTAATCATTAATATTTTAAATTAAATAATTAATCAAATTAATTAATTTATTTAATTAATATAGTTTATATTTTTAATTAAAGTTTAAATTGTTATTTAATCAATAATTACTATATAATTAATTTTAAATTTTCTTGATGCTTTTGCTATGTAATTCTTTTATTGTTTAATTATTTTTATTGAAATAATTTAAGATTGAAATAAATTAAAATTAAATAAAATGTAAAGAGATAAATTGAAATTTAATAAGCAATTTTTAATATAATTTTATTGTTAAAATAAAATTTTCGAGATAAAATTTCTACTGAAATTGTTATTCAACTACATAAAAGAAGTGCCGCAGCTTTCTTATTCAAGGCTCCGGTGCGTTCCGACTAAAATTATGATTTATTACAAAAAATAAGAAGAATTGGAGCCGAAATCCGGTGGGCTCCGACCCAATTTAAGCTCTGATCGTAGGGAGGAGGAAGTTCTTTTATCATCACAAAAATTAAATATACTTAAAGTACAGCTGATGAAAATTCCAGATAATGCTAAAAACAGGGTGAAACAGAATGAGGATATGAGTGGGTCAAAACAAAAAAAATGAGGGGAATCTTGGTGATATAGAACTTTTCTTTGACCGAGGCTCTCTGCTGATATAATTATACCCATCAAGCAGATGTGAGTCAGGGGTAAAATGAGTTATGAATCTGACTGCTAAGGATGAATGTAGTAAAGTTGCTGGTTACGCTTTTCGCCCCCCCCCGCATTTGGTTCCCCCCCCCCCCCCCCATTAGTGGATACTGTGGGAAGACGATGTATAGGACCTGCTTGAGCAGTTTACCTCAGTATTTCACTCTTATTGTACTCGCTGTCACTTAACGCACATTTAAGAAGAATTTTTTCTTTCCTGCGAGGATAACTAACTGTAACCATCGATAACAATATACTAGATACGATGGCATGGCAAGAAATTTACGCGTTCCTAAACAAGCTCCCCCAAATTTATTGCCCATCTTAAAAGCAAAGGTTTCCGCATGTGAGTGAGGGGACTTTACTCGAACGTCTCATATTCTCACGAGTTTGTATTTCTAGGGAAATAGAATACTGCAAGGTCTTCTTATTGTTAAATTAAAATGTTAAGAATTCTAATTTTCCCCCCTTTAAATTGTGGTTCAGTTTTATAAAAAGAAGTACCAGAGCTCATCTTATTTAGGGCTCCGGTGTGCTCCGGCTAAAACTGTAATTTATCTTAAAAATTGAGAAGTACCAGAGCCGAGCTCTGGTGGGCTCGGGTGCAATTTATGCACTGACAGTGGTATGCATGTAATCAAGGGTATGAAAAATTATTAACAGTAATGGTAGAAAACAACAAAGTAGAATAATGAATAGTGCTAAAAAATGTTCAGAAAGTTAAAATTTTTCACTGAAAAAAATTGGAAAGTAGCTGTAAAGAATTCCAACGTAACTGTCACTAGTTTCAACTATTCCTGCTGACACCATTTACTTATATTACTTGATTCCTTACTCGTCATATGCAACAATCCTCTTTCCCACTTTGTCACAGCAAATCGCATAAAATATTTCATTCAATAACATTTTTAACATTAAGCTTATTAAAATATTGCAGCCAATAATATTTTTAATATTGAGTATATTAATTAAAATACTGCATCCAATGAGATTTTTAATACTGAGTAAATAATCAAATGGGTACTGTTCTGTTATCAGGACCAGACTCGTTGGTGAATGTTCTGCTAACCTAAGAGATTAATTTATATAAAGTCGCCAATGTTTACTTTTAAAATTTTTACAATGTTTACATTTTAAAAAAGTAAAACAATGCATTCCAAAATTGGCAATTCTAAAGAGGGTGTGTGGTGTTGTATTTAATTATAGCAAAACACAATAGGGCTATCTGCCTAAGGGAAGGGATGCCATCGTGGAGGACTTTCTAAGGAAAACTCGCTCGTAAACATGTTACACATGTGTAAAACCATGAAAACACCCATGCAGCCAGCCCGTTTGTGGTATTCGAACCTCGGACCGAACTACCAGTGTTCAGCGACTTTACCGCTCGGCCGCTGGTGGGCTGCAAATTCTAAAGAAGTAACAGTTCTTTTATTTTTATTATTCTTGTATTTACCATGGAGTTGAAAGTTTTGGACTTACCTAATGATGAAACATCTTCCATACAATTTCTTCAGGAACAACAAATCGTTCACTCTGGAAGAAAATGCACGAAAAACCATAAAATGAAGTTCTACTTTAATTCAAAAGAAGCACCGGAATCGAGATGTGAAAATCCGGATTTTGAACTTTTTTGTGTTAACCGTAAGTATAATTTTATCAATCATGATACTAGTTATCATACTCAGACTTTAGAAAAGTTATGGGACAAATCAGAACAGGCTTCAATGCGGCACTTAACGTAACCAAATAGATTCTTATTTGAGTAAATGTGGCGGCAGCAGCTTCCAAAAATGCAAATCTTTTCAGATATTTTAAATGAGATCTGCAGTTTCATGCCTTCACATTAATCTTAACTCACTAAATTCTCTGATTTTTTTCCCCTAATTTCTTTGGTAAGTTCCTTAATTTACATTAATTAATTGTACAAATTTCTGTTGTTATTTTTCACCTAGGATTTTTCTTCAATGAAATTATATTGTAAATATTTTGAAGATTATTTTTATGCTTCGAATTTTTCACCAGATCGTCAGCTTTTGTGATATCTGAATCCAGTCTCGATAACAGAATGGCACCATCAAATGAGTTATATAACTGCCTTTCTTTACAGTTTTATTGCAGTCAAACGAAAGCTGATGCAGTGTATTAAAGAGTGGATTGAGCCTGGTACAACTATTTTTTCGGATGGATGGAAATTTTACAAGGATTTAGGAAAAGAAGGTTTTAAACATTTATTTGTGAATCATAATATGAATTTTCTGGACAGTGTGTCTGGCTGTCATATAAATAGGATAGTGATTACGTGGCAGCATGTTAAAGGCGGTATGAAATTGGTATTTCTGCTGTTTGAAAAAGCATTCATTCATGGTAAATGCATTTTATTTTATTCTTGTTCTTATTTTGTAGAATATTATGTTCATTTTTTTAGTATGAATTTCGGTCGCTATTGTTTTTTTTTTTTTTTTTTTTTTTTTTTATTGTTTGAAATTTTAGTTTATTTTGTTGATTAGTGCACAGTGCCTAGATTGTGCAATTCGTAGATGTTTATTAAAGTTGAATCAAAACGTTGTATCCATGGTATTCTTTGAAATTTACTGTTGTTATGTTAATTTATTAAAGCGACGTGTGCATAGTTCGTACATTCGTTCATTGCCTAGATTTTACAATTCGTAGATTTTTTTTTTTTTTTTTTTATTTAAAACATATCGCTGTGTACATGGATTCTTGTCAAATATTCTTGGTTAGAAACTTTATGTTTTTGCTATCTAAATTTTTTGTTTTTGTTTCGGATTTTTAGCTTAAATTGTGTGTTCAAAACGTGGCTTTTGCATGTGTGAAAACAGTATTTTTGGAGACATTTTAGGCTTAAAGTTTGAAATGTAGAAAAAAAATTTAGATAGTAATATGGCAGCGTGGAGTTTCTCGCCAAACATTTCTGGCGAGAAACTTGCCGACCTGAGGTCGCATATAAGAGTAGTTCCAAACAATTAAATAATTCATGATTAAAGTAATTAAAAGTTAAACAATTAATTGTTAAAATCATTAAATAATCAATGATTAAAGTAATTAAATAACTGAAATTAAAATTTAACGAAATGTGAAGAAATAAATTAAAATTTAACAAACTATTTTTGATATAATTTTATTATAGAAAATAAAATTTTTGAGATCAAATTAATACCGAAAGTTTGTTCAATAACATAAAGAAGCGCCGGAACCTTCTTATTTAGGGCTCTTGTGCACTCTGACTAGAATTAAGATTTATTCAAAAAACTAAGAAGTATCGGAGATGAGCTCCAGTGGGCTCCGGCGCAATTTAAGCTCTGATAAAGTCAACAGAGTGCGCAATGCCAAGTTTGTGCAATTCTGTGATGTTTTTTTAAGTGAAAATAGGTCAATGTGTACAAAAATTGCCGCTACACAAGCCAAAATAACAAGTGAACTGCAAAAAATGGCCAATTTCGCCAAATATACTTTTACCAAAAACGCTTTTAAACAATACCAACGCTTTTTCACTTTAGAGGGGAAAAGTTTTGAAATTTTCAAATAGCACCATCAACCTTTTTTTTTTTTTCCTGCGTAAATTGATTAGCACACTGAAAAACTAAAAATGCATTGGAATGATATACATATGATGAAACTTGCTGGCGGAAAACATTTTCAAAGAACAGCACTGAAAAGGAACAATGACAACACAAGACAAGACAGGTAAAAAAACTTTTATTGGAATTACAAATTTTCACCGAGCCTATCTTTGTATATACACTAGAGTCTCGCAAACTCAACATAGACTGAGAGACTGCAGAGCTACAGAAAAGTCGAGTTTTACGGAATAAGGGGTGGGTTTTTCAGAAGTCTTAATATTTAACTGTAAATTAGACATTTGTAGCACAATATTGGACACAGAAAAGTACAGCATACAATTAAACTAATGTTAATTTTTTTATGTCAAGTTCTAACACACTAGGAGTTATCAAAAGAACAAATACCCTGAAAATTGAGTAAAAAAACTTACATACAAAAATGAAGAAAAATTATTAGTAGTTCTTGGTAGGAAAATATTGTGTGATGGTAGATTGTCTCTCACACTCATTCCAAAGAAGCAAACAGCATTCATTGCCAAGTATTACAACATATCTTGAAATTTGTTATGCAGTTCCAAGAATTAATGGCACAGTGTGAAAGCAGCAAAAATTACAGAAAAAGAACACTCAAATCTTTGAACAGAACAGGAAAGACATATGCATAAATAATAATAATAATTATATGTACCATATTTAATATTTGCTCTCTATGGCTTAGAGATATCTTTAAAAAGTTCCTAAAAAGTTGTCAAGTTTGCAGGACTCTACAATATAAATGTATATATGGCTAATATGGCTATCTAAATTGATAAATAGCTAGATAGATATGCCTAAAAATATGTATGCAATAAGCTGGCTTTCCCAAAAATGTTGTATAAAAACGTATAGTTTAACTACTTACACAACAATAAAATGAAAGGCACACACACACAATAATTCATATAAATTAAAATTCAAAATAAAAGTACTTAGTAATTATTTAACAATATTCTCAATAATAAATACACATTGCACAATCATGCTGCACATAATTATTTCATGATAATAAATTGATGAAATTTAATCCCCTTCCAAAAAAAATTATTTTCCTTCATAAGTATTTAAGGCTTACAAAGGGCATTTATAAATATGATTAAGTAAGTGAAATACATATACTACAAAAAATTACAGCTTAAAAGCTTCCATACAATTTTACTCAGAATTAAAAAACTCCACAGTCAGCTTTTTTAATTCTTTATTAAACCTCATTTTCATACTTAAAAGCATTTAAAAGATACAGATAACCAAAATCAGTTCGGTATGGCAGAATGTTTAGTCACAACAATCATTAAAATGCCAAATTTTTAGTGGAAGTAAATAACACAGTATATGCAGACAAAGGGCTAAATTACATCAAAGTTATTATGTCATTAGTCTTGCTTAAAAGCTTATGAAAGAAAATAATTATTTACCTTCAATCCCGTCATTTTTCTCCAACACCTATATAAAGTATTTATGAATAGAAATTTGTCACAGATAGAAGTCATGCAGACTTCATAAAATGTTAATAGCATTATATACAGTGTCTCACATCTAAATGTTTACACACTAGTCCATACAATCATAGAAAAGTAGAAATCTGACAAAGGTAAGCGCTACGCTCCATCTGTCAACGACAAACTGAACCCTTTTCATTTATAAAAAACAAATATAAATATATGATAATCGTAATTCATGAAAATTTGTCGGGAAAGGGTGGAGTAGGGACATAAAAAAATTAATCCCCAGCTAAAAAAATATTCCCTGTATTTTCCCTAGTGAAAAAAGTCCCTTAGTTTTTCCCTCAGAGAAATTTATGAGCAGTTAAGAGCTGTTCATATCTTTCGTGGTTTTTCGCAAACGAGGCAGTTCTCTTAGAAAATCTTCCACGAAGACCTCTCTTCCCTTAAGCAAACAGCTCTAATCGAATAATCACGTGTTTTGCCCTAATCGAATGAACGAGTAATCGAATACGTGAGTAAAGCATATTTTTGAAGTTCGGAGAATGGAAACAATATTCCTGAAACTTTGTTTTTTCTCTTAACTTAAACAACAATAATTATAATCTTTTCTGAGCTAAATCTCTCGAAAACTACTTACCTGTTTCAATTTGCCTTTCCTTAATTAGTTTTTGATGTACACTCAACACATATATAGTCATTCAAAACAGATCGTATTTTATTCTCGAGTGTCAAAGATGTAGAAACATCTTTTTACTTGACTGCTGATAAGAATCAGTAGGAGGATAAAGAGTAGTGTGGAAGGAAGTGTGGGAGGCGGAGAAAGAGAGTCAGGTTCGCGTTAGCGGCGGCGAAAAAAAGGGGGGGTAAGTTCACTGTCGTTATAAGATGTAGCCGCGGGTGGTAAACCGTAGAGTCAGTTTAAAATATAGTCATTCAAACAATCATCAGCCATTGCTTTTCACCTGCTTTTACTTGGGAATTAATGCTATGATTTTTACATTATTTTCCTCATACCACTCATAATTTCCCGATTTCTTCGACACGTTCAGTTTTTAAGTCTCTGTGAAGTGTGTCGTTTGAGATAAAATAATGGGCATTTGTCATCAAACGCGGGGCCTTGTTTTAGAGAACTTGCAATTTTCGGAGGTGGCAGCCGCCCAAGCCGGAAACACGTACGAGAAGGTAGGACGGATAAAATGCATCTTTTGGACAGGATTAACTTAAGAGTTTTTTTTAAATAATGAAGGAAATACTGAAAGTGCAGCCATAGCTTTACACACGTGCTTTAGTCACATGATCTTTCCAGCTGAGTTTATTATTAATGACGACAGCAAAATAAACGGCCTTTCTCACAATAGGCACATCAATGTCAAAAAATTTTAAAGTCACATTTAAAGGGTTCGTAGGAGTCTTCTTTCGAATAATGAGTAATTGCGATTTTTGCGCATTGATTGCTATACGCCATTTCGTGCACCAATGCTCCACCGCGGGAATGATGCTCTGTAATTTAGAAATAGCTATTTCGGCTCTAAGAGAATACTGCTAACGCAGTATCATCTGCGTAGCATCCTAGGAAAGTGTTATTGTCCATATTATACTTTGGAAAATCAGCGCCGTAAAATAAATAGAGGATTGGAATTAAAATTCACCTTTGGGCCACTCCAGCATTTAAACGTTGGCATTCAGGTTCGTCGCCTCCAATACTGACAAAAAATTTTCTGTCCTTAATAAAGGAGTAGATCAGTAAGATGAGGTCGCTGTCCAAATCGCCAGAAATGATTACAGAAAAATGACAAGTACATTAAATGAAAGAGGTATCCCGTTTCACACATATCAACTGTCGAGTGAGAAAAATGTAAAAGCAATCCTGAAGAATATTCCAGAAACAGTCATAGAAAAGGCGATCTTCAACGATCTACAGCGAAGAAAGTTCCCTATTATAAAAGTCCGGCAATTCAACAGAACCAGAAGAGGAGTTTGGGTAAAACTGCCAATATTCTTCCTAGAATTGAAAAGAAATAATGCTGGAAGTGCCATATTTAACCTGAATAATATGTTCAGTATCAATATACGAATCCAGAAGTTTTCCCCCAAAAAGCGTCCAACGCAGTGTTACAGATGCCAAGAATACGGCCATACACAGCATTTATGCAAATATCAATAAAGGTGTTGCAAATGCGGAGACAACCATAGCACCAAGTCATACAATAAAAAACCTGAAGATACGCCAACCTGCATTTTTTGCGGGGAAGGACACGTTAGCCGTTACTGTGGATGTAAAGGCTTACCAGGAAAAGTTCGAAAGAAAAGGCTTCCCTCTCCAAACTTAACGGAATGTGAGAGTCCTAACAGCTTCAAGCATGAGAGACGTGGGATACATACAATCATAATTTCAAAAATTATATTGGTATTACATGACATACATAGTATTTACATAGTATTTACAAATAAAAATATATACATGCAGCAAGGGTTCCTGGGAAAAGACAATTCGTACAGGGATGATGTACAGAGAATAATGAGGTGTCATTGCAGGGCATAAGTAACATGAACTAGATTAAATAGATTACATAAACCAGTATACATAAGCATAGTTGTTGAGATATCTAAGGACCGCAAGCGGTCTTTTGCGGTTAGCTTCAGATTCGTAGTTATAAGAGAGCACCAGAATGGTGCTGTTACAAACTTCTAGGATCTTATTAAAAAAGCTTTCGGCAAGTTTTGCGATATAGCAGTGGATCTCAGGAATTTCAAGCTCACGGTGAATTGCCGAGTTTCGAATAAACCAACGACAATTCACCGCTTGCCTGAGTACAATATTTTGAAGAACTTGAAACTTCATGAGATTAGTTTTGCAGGCGTAGGTCAGAATGAGATGCAAAAGGGTTTTGAAAATGAGTACTTTGTTGTCTATAGATAGAACGGAGTTCCGGTCAATTAAGGGGGTAAGTGTTCGTTTAGGTACACGGAACTTAGCAACAATCTGTGTTATGTCTGGGGACCATGTGAGTGACCTATCCAATATAACACCTAGGTATTGGGCCTGCCTAGTCCACTGGATTGAAGTATCGTGCATAAGGATACAGGTAGTTTCATCCACGTTTCTTTTCTTGTGGAAAAGGACTGCCTCTGATTTCTCCACGTTTATCTTCACCTTCCAGCCTGTCAGCCAAGACTCAAGTGCGTGGACATGGTTTTGTAGTGTTTGAATAACTAAGCCATGAGATGCGTTTTTGGATAGAATTGCCGTGTCGTCGGCGTACATAGACAGGGTGGTGTGTGGTGTTTGTGGGATATCATTCGTGTAGATATTATAGTATACGGGCCCAAGGAGCTGCCTTGCGGGACACCAGCCTTGATGACCCGCGGTGTGGAGAGTGAGTTGTTCACACGGCCGATAAAGTGTCTTTCCTTAAGATAGGAATATGTGATGGATGTAATGTACTCTGGGCAGTAGCGTAGCTAGGGTGGGGCAAGGGGGGGCATCCGTTACCGGGCGCAGCATTTAGGGGGCACCAAATTGATAATACACATTTCAGAATGAAATGTTTTCCATTCTTGGAACACAGAAAGGGGCGCAAAATCTTAAGATGTCCCCGGGCGCTAAAAACCTTAGCTACGCATCTGACTCTGGGAAACTCAGAGTGATGAGTTTGTACTTGAGGCCCTTAAGCCAGACACGGTCGAAGGCTTTGGCTATATCTAGGAATATGGCACCAGTAATCTGACGGTCCTGGAACCCTGATGAGATAATTTCCGTAACCCGGTACAACTGATGCATAGTAGAGTGTTTCTTTCTGAACCCGTACTGTTCTGGGATAATGATCTTGTGTTGTTCTGTAAATTCCAGGAATCTCTGCAGAATTACGTATTCAGCTACTTTGCTCAGAGAGGAAAGTAAGCTTATAGGCCTGTATAATGACGGCTCGGAAGATGACTTTCCAGGTTTTAAGATTGGCGTAACTACGGCAGTTTTCCATAGGTTTGAAAAATGTCTAAGGCGGAGCATGGCGTTGATGATAGCAACTAACTTCAGAAGCATGAGGATGCCCATGTTCTTGATCATTTTGTTGGAGATCTTGTCCAATCCTGGGCTCTTTTTGATCTTGAGTTTTTGAATGTAGCCGTAGACCTCCGATGGTTTGACAAGAGGAGTGTTGTTTGTGGGAGAGTTTGTAAGGTATTTAGTTAGCGTTCGAGTGACCATATGGTCTGTTGGTGGGTGGGATATGTTGTTGGTGAATAAGTGAGCAGCGTAGTGATCGGCGAGAGACTCAGCTTTCTCAGTTTCGGTGTAGGCAATTCCTTGTTGGCCATTTAAGGGCGGAATATTAGTGTAGTATCTCTTTAACTTAGCAGTCGCCTTCCACGCTGAGCTTTTCTCAGTGGAGAGGGAGGAGAGATAAGTGTCCCAGTCGTGTTGTGTATGTTGGCGTGTTGACCCTAAACTGGTGGTTTAACTGATTAAAAATATTCTTGTCTCCACGAAATCTGGTACTTTGCCATTCTCTTCTGGCGATGTTGCTCCTTTGGATTAATTTTTTCAACTCAGAGTTGGTGGCTTTCTTTCTGTCACGAATGGTGGTACTATTTGCATCGAGGGCAGTAATGAGGTGGTAGGTGAAATCCGTAACCATAGCGTCTAACTCGTTACCCGACTGTATGTTGAATACCCGACCCGTTGGAATGTGGAGTGAAGTGCTGTTTAAGGCTTTGGCATATCCTGTCCAGTTTGTAATAAAGGCCTTCTTGTGTGGTGTGCTACAAACAGAAGTACCCAGGTTAATCATGACTGGGTTATGATCTGATGATAACTCGTTAAGAGTTTCAACAGATCTTGGTGCAGCCTTTGACGGGGAAGAAATCCAGTACTTTCTGTTGTTGTAGCGTGTTGGAGTATCTGGAGCTGCAATGGTAATTCCAGCCTCGTCGACAAATCGGAAAATTACAGTTCCTAGGTATGAGGTATAAAAGCAACTCCACGCGCGGTGGTGTGCGCTAAAGTCTTCGCGTACGATACTTTTTCTGTTAAGTTGGAATAGCACTTCAAAGTTACGCGCAATATTCGCCTGTGATCGTTTTGCTCCTGGGACGTAGGCGGAGATAACTGTGAGTAGGTGTGATGGAAGTGTAGTGACTGTGATAGCTAGGGCCTCTACGGCTAAAAGTATGTCTTGTAGTGCACGTTGATTACCTTTCAGGTGGCATTATGTATCTTGAAGGGGTGCTATAGATAGTACAATAGTACAAGAAATGTAACAGTAGAACATTCATTTGTGATATTTTAATTCGCAATATTTTGAGTCTCTGTAACGTATTATTTCGTGGATTTATTTACCGACTTATGCAAAATCATTCCCATTTAATCA